ATCCAGACACACACAGAAACATTTGCACACATTCAGACACGCTCTCACACACTCAGAAACACTCACACACTCTCAGACACACTCAGGCACACTCTCACAAAGCCTGACACACTTAGACACATTCAGACACACTCAGACACACCCAGACACACTCAGACACACTTGAGCACACTCAAACACAGTCACACACACCCAGACTCACTGAGACACACTCAGAAACACTCACACAAAGTCAGACACACTCAGGCACACCCCGACATTCTCAGACACACTCACACACACTCACACACACTCAGACACCGACAAACAAACAGACCCATAAATATATGCTCATGCACTCTCACCCATTTTGAGACACACTCTCACAAACCCAGACACACTCAGATGTACTCCGACACTGTAAGACACACTCAGTCACACTCAGACACGCTCAGACACACTCAGACAGACCCAGACACATTCGCTCACACTCAAAAACGCTCAGACACATTCGGACACACTCGCACACAGCCAGACACACTTAAACACACTCAGTAACACTAAAGCACAGTCCTACACTCGCACAAACTCAAACACACTCAGGCACATTCAGACACACTAAGACACACTCAGGCACAATCAGACACACTCAGAAACACTCACACACACACACTCTCAGCACAGTCCCACACTCGCAAAACTCACACACATTTAGACACAGACACACTCAGACACATTCACACACAATCACACACATTCCCATTCAGACACACTCAGATACGCTCAGACATACTCAGAAACACTGAGACACACTGAGACACACTCAGACAAAATCCCACAAAGGCAGATACACTTAAATACACTCAGACACACTCATAAACACTGAGGCACACTCGCACACGTTCAGAAAAAACGGCAAACAGACTTGAACACCCAGACACACTTAGATACACTCGCACACACTCAGACACTCTTGAGCACTCTCAAACACACTCAGACGAACTCAGACACACTCAAGTAGACTCCCACACATCCAGACACATTTAGAAACATTCGCACATATTCAGACACACACTCAGAAACACTCAGACACTCTCAGACACACTCAGGCACACTCCGACATGCTCAGACGCACTCAGAAACACTCAGAAACATTCAGAGTCATTGAGACACAATCAGGCACACTCGGACACACTTGCACGCATCCAGACACACTCAGACACACTCAGACACGCTCAGGCACACTGAGACACACTCAGAAACACTCAGACACACTCGCATACACTCGCACACACTCTGACACTTAGACACACTCAGACACACTTGAACACACTCCGACACACTCAGACGATCCCTCACAAACTAAGGAACACTCTTACACACTCAGACGCACTCAGACACACTCAGACAAACTCAGACACACTCAGACGCACTCAGGCACACTCAGACACACTTGCACACACCCAGACACACTCAGATACACTCCGACACGCTCAGAAACACTCAGGCACACCCAGACATACTCAGGCACATTCTCACACACACTCAGACACACTCAGACACACTCAGAAACACTCAGACCCACTCGCACTCACTCGCACACACTCTGACACACTTAGACACTCTCACACACTAAGGCACACTCTTATACACTGAGACGCACTAAGACACACTCAGACACACTCCTACAGATACAAGCACACTCAGATGCACCTGCACACACTCAGGCACACTGAGACACCTGCAAACACTCAGACACACCTGCAAACACTCAGAAACAATCAGACCCATAAATAGAAGCTCAGGTAAACTCAGGCACACTCAGACACACTAAGGCACACTGAGAGATGCCCAGACACAGACGCACTCAGAAACACTCGCACACAGCCAGACACACTAAGGCACACTGAGAGATGCCCAGACACACTCGCACACACTCAGAAACGCTCAGATACACTCTGACACGCTCACACGCTCTCAGACACACTCAGGCACACTCCAACACACTCAGACACCATCAGAAGCACTGATGTTGCAAAGCAATTTAAATTTTAGTAGTAGAATGGCTAAGGCTTAATAGGAGAGTAGGCCTAGAAAAGCAACTCTCCAAAGAAGTAAGTTTGCAACCTTGTTTGTGTGCTGAAAAAGTGGAAACCATAATCAAAGGATTTAGTCAAGCATGTATATAATGATTTGTTTCCTAGGATATAGTAATTTGTTACCTAAGATGAAGTAAGGGTCTGTTAAACAGTTTCTAGGGGTAAGACAACTTAAGCAGATTTATGATTATTAATTGTTATCAGTATGGAGCATGAGCTTGTTTTTTCTGCATCTGGTTTTCTGTGAGCTTGTTTGTAACTGCACCTGGTTTACTGTGGAAACTGTAACTGTTTTGCCTTGGAAAGTGCACGTAAACTTGTTTGTGTATAAAAGCTGAACTGAAAATGAGGGCCTTCGGCATCCTGACTCGGGACGCTAGTCCTCAGGTTCCCGGGGCTCCGAATAAAGCTCCGCATAAACCGGCACTCTGTCGGTTTGTGTTTCTTTTGGTTTCGGGCAACAGTTTTCTGGCGACACTTAGATGGGACTCCGGGGGTAGCTGGGGGGGCTCACGCGCTGATCTACTCCACGCCGGCAACCAGGTGATTTCTGGGGAGACATCGACCCGTGCCCGACCCACGCCTGCCGGACAAACATTACAGGTAAGCCCGGAGGTGCTTTATTCCTTTAGATTTGTTGGTTGGGAGCCTGCCTATAAGACGGGACCGTGAGTTACCCGCTGGGTTGGGCTAAAGGTACCTCGGTTGGGAAGCCTAGGCGCTGGTCGTAAGATGTAGCGAAAGCCGCGCTGTACCAGCACTCGCCACTCAGAGGGAGAATTGGCGAGTTGGTTTTGGTTTTGGTTTTGATATATGTTATTGGTTTACATTGTTGTGTTGTCCCGCTGGTCGTTAAAAGTATTGCTTTGTATCGTTGTGATATTGTGAATTTGAGGAATTCAGATTGTGGTGTGTGTGTGAGTCAGTATGATGCCGTTTAAAACCTTTAGAGCACTATCTTGTGCAGAAAAAGATATCCCTAGCGATTCTCCGCTTGGTTGCGTGTTAAAACCTTGGAAGGAGGGAAATTTTAGACAAGAGTTAAACAAGAAAAAATTGATTGATAATTGTTATAATGTATGGCCTCAGTATGAGACAGAAGGAATGCAGTGGCCTAGAAATGGTTGATTGTCTTTGGAAATTATAACCCCCTTGATGCGATATTTACGAGAGAATGAGAAGTGGGATGAAATACCCTATCTGGATTTGTTTTATTATTTAGAACATAACACTATGGCAAAAGGAATGTGGTATCTTAGTATTGAAAGAACTGGAGCTGGAAGATGATAAATGTAAAAAATGTCAAGAGCGGAGTATAATGATATTGAAAGGATTGGATGATAAATATGAGCGGAAAATACGGTTTTCAGAACCAGAGGAGGATGTGTCTTTTTTAGTCTCCCCCGGTAGAACTCCAAGTGCGCACCCGATAGATAGTCTCCCTTCACGTGTGAGGGCACGGTCACCCACAATGACCCCGTTAGAATCGTCCTCGGATGAGGAAGAAACAAAAGGACGAGGATGTGATTTTGATAGAACTCCTCTAGCAGAACGAACTCGGAAGGGGTGGAAAGAAAGGGGAAGGGGTAGAGAAAGGAGACGGGGAGGGGGAAGGGAGGCTGACGTGTCGCTCTCACCCCCTAGATTTAATGGCCCCTTTGCGGGAAGCAGTTGGAGCGAATGGAGGAAAAGTCATGGTAAAAGTTCCTTTTTCTCCTAGTGATTTATTAATTTGGAAACACTCAGCTGGAACATATAGAGAAAACCCGGAGCGGGTGTCTTGTATTATGAAAATGGTTATAAAAACACAAAATCCAGACTGGAATGATTTACAAGTATTGTTAGATACAATTCTGGATTCAACAGAAAAGGAAAGGTATTAAGGGTGATGGTAGAAAAAGCGAAAGAAAGAATTCGAACTTTTCCCCGGGGGGTGCGGGGAACCGTGAATGATTTTGTGCCGCGGGAGGATCCCGAGTGGGATACAAATGACGACAGAGATTATAAAAAGTTAAGAATTTATCAAGAATTATTGGTAGAAGGAGTACGAAGTGGGATACCAAAAACGCTGAACTGGTCAAAGTTTTACTCAGTAAGGCAAGATAAGGGGGAATCCCCTTCAGCCTTTTTGGAGAGGTTAAAAGAGACAGCTAGGAAATATACAGATTTAGATGTTGAAGCTGAATCAGGGAAATTGCAATTAGCATTGATTTTTATGGGACAAGCACAAGAAGATATTAGGAAGAAACTTCAGCAGTTGGAGGGTGCGGAGACAAGAGATTTGGAAAAATTATTAGAAGTGGCATGGAAGGTGTATAATAATAGAGAAAAGGAAGCTACTAAGAAGCAGCAGACAAGCTTGTTAGCACTTCTGCAAGCTTCAGGGGGGAACAATGGGGCCAGTAGCCATAGAGGAAGAGGTCGTGGTAATAGGGGAAGGGGAGGAATGGGTAGAGGATTTAACAATCAGTGAGGATTTGGAAATCAATATGGGGGAGGACGTAGTAGGATAGGACCAAATCAGTGTGCTCTTCGTAAAGGACAAGGACATTGGAAAAACGAATGCCCACTGAATGCTGGAAATGGAATTAATCCGTGGAACCCCCAAAGTTTGCAAATTTGCAAAACCCTGCTAATATGGGCACGCCACAAGGTGTCGCCAAAGCATTTATGTTAGGGAATTATCGGAGTCGAAGCAGGCTAGATTCAGACTTAAAGGTTGTTTTAGAAGTAGAGGGAGTGCCAACAGAATTTAGGATCGACACTGGAGCTAGTTTTTCGGCAATGAATAAATTGATGCGGCCACTAAGTGATTCAACTGCATGGGTGGTAGGAGTTTCAGGAGAGATGGAGGAAAAGGGGTTTCTGCGACCCTTAGATATTAAATTTCGAGGAAAAGAGCTAGACCATCAATTTTTGTATATGCCTAACAGTCCTGAATGTTTACTAGGAAGAGATTTGCTTTCAGCCTTTCAAGCTAAAATTATATTTGAAAAAGGGAGAGTAAAATTGGAAATTCCGGAAGAGAACTTAGCAAAAATTTTTGTTGTGAAAGAAGTAGAAAAAGAAGAGATACCTCAGGAAATAGAACAAGCTGTAGTGCCTTGGGTATGGGAAATAGGGGTCCCTGGAAAATCCAAAGCTGCTACCCCAGTTAGAATAGAATTAAAAGAAGGAGCACGACCCGTTAGAGTGAAACAATACCCAATTAATTTAGAAGCCAGGAAAGGAATAGCTCCTATGATCACACAATTTTTAATTTTAGGAATATTAAAAGAATGTGAGTCAGAATTTAATACTCCCATATTTCCGATAAAAAAACCAAATGGTAAGTATAGGTTAGTGCAAGACTTGAGAGCAGTAAACCGTATCACAAAAATATCCACCCGGTTGTAGCTAAGCCTTACACCTTGTTAACACCTGTTTCTGAGAGATTTCAGTGGTTTACAGTGATTGATCTAAAGGATGCCTTCTTCTGCATACCACTGGCACGGGAAAGTTGGAGAATTTTTGCCTTTGAATGGGAGAACCCAGAGACTGGACGGAAGCGACAGTTTACTTGGACGCGATTACCACAAGGATTCAAATACTCACCCAAGATATTTGGTAATCAGTTAGCAAAGGAACTTGAGGAATGGAAGACTACTCAGGTAAAAGAATCTCCTTTTTCATATATAATACTTCTGTATGTTGATGACATCTTTTTGGGAGCTGAAAACACGAGGGACTTTGTCGTCAATTAACCATTGAACTGTTAAACATGCTGGGACAAGCAGGTTATCGAGTCTCAAAAGAAAAAAACACAACTAGGAAAAGAGAAAGTTATTTATCTAGGATGTGAAATCTCACAAGGAATCCGGCGCTTAGGAACAAATAGGGTTCAAGCAATATGTGCTATCCCTGTGCCCCGAAATAATCAGGAACTAAGATCTTTTTTAGGAATGGTCGGATGTTGCAGACTGTGGATTCCCAACTTTGGACTAACTACCAGACCCTTATATGAAGCAGTAAAGGAGCCCAAGCTGACCTGGGGGACGAAGCAAGAGAAAGCGTTCCAGGAATTGAAAAGAGCCCTCCAGGAAGCACCTGCCCTGGGACTGCCGGACCCAACCAAGGAGTTTCAGCTCTATGTCTGCGAGAGACAACGAGTCCTCACTCAGCATCTAGGATCCTGGAAAAGACCAGTTGGGTATTTCTCCAAACGGCTAGATGCAGTAAGTGGGGGATGGTCAGGGTGTCTCAGAGCTGTGGCAGCGACGGTTACTTTAATACAAGAAGCACGAAAATTGACTCTGGGAAAACACATGGTAGGGTACGTACCCCACATGGTCATAGCAGTTTTGGAACAAAAAGGGGGGCATTGGCTCTCATCTAGCCGTATGTTACAGTATCAAGCTTTGTTAAGAGAGCAAGATGATGTTGAACTGAAAATCACTAACCATCTCAACCCAGCAGAATTCCTTAGGTCTACACAGGAAGGAGGTATCCTGGAGCATGACTGTGTAGAGACCATTGAACAAGTCTACGCGAGCAGAAGAGACTTGAAGGACGAGCCATTGACAGATCCTGACTGGGAGTTTTTCACCGACGGATCTAGATTTGTGGAGAATGGCACCAGGTATGCTGGGTATGCAACGGTCACTTTACAACAAGTGATAGAAGTAAACACGCTACCCCCAGGTACGTCTGCACAAAAGGCCGAAATATGGGCATTGGTGAGAGCTTTGATATTAAGTCAAGGAAAGAGAGTTAACACATGGACTGACTCCAAATATGCTTTTGGAGTAGTTCATATTCACGGAGTACTCTGGAAAGAGAGAGGACTTCTTACTTCTCAGGGGTCAACGATTAAACATCGAGAAGAAGTTTTACAATTGCTAGAAGCAATACACAAGCCCTCAGCAGTGGCAATAACGCATGTCAAAAGACATCAGACTGATCCTGGTCGAGAATTTCAAGGTAATCGACAAGCTGACCAAGCGGCTAAACAAGCTGCAAGACAAGTATGGACTCAGACGGTTCTTTTGCCCGCTCGAAATAATCCAGCAATAGCATATATGGAAGAAAAACCACATTATTCACAGGAAGATGAGAAATTAGCTCAAATGACAAATGCAAGGAAAAATGTTAAAGGGTGGTATATTTCCCCCATAGGACAAGTACCTGTCAGAATAATGAAAGCAGTGCTTGAAACAGAACAAAACAAGTGCCACTGGGGTGCAGAAGCATTGGTAAAATTTTTGAAAAATGAGGTTCTGTCAAACCAGATGTTAACACTAGCAAAAAGGGTAAATGCAAGGTGTCCTACGTGTATAAAGAATAACCCAGTAGTCAGGAAGCAGGTGCAGATGGGAAAATTACAGATAGGTCAGTTACCGGGAGATTACTGGCAAGTAGACTTTGGTGATTTGCCTAAGGCCCAATCCTATAAGTATTTGTTAGTATATGTCTGCACCTTTTCAGGATGGCCTGAGGCTTTTCCTTGTAGGACAAATGAGGCAAAGGAAGTGGTAAAGACTCTCCTGAGGGAAATCATCCCAAGATTTGGAGTTCCCCTAGGGTTGTCCTCTGATCGAGGACCGCACTTTATAGCAGGGATAGTACAAGATGTGTCGGTTGTATTAGGGATAACATGGAATCTCCATACACCATGGAGACCACAGTCTAGTGGACAAGTTGAAAGGATGAATCAGACATTGAAAGGTCAACTGAAGAAAATCTGTCAAGAGGCAAAGATTCTGTGGCCCCAAGCAGTATCCATTGCCCTGTTGAGAATTAGGATCAAAACAAGGGAGAGGATAGGAGTAAGTCCATATGAAATATTATATGGCAAACCTTATCATGCAGCTACCTACCAAGGGGATCCTCATATAGTAGGTGATCAAGCAGTGTTTAATTATGTGTTATCTTTAAATAAGGCTCTCACAGCCCTCAGAGGAGCATTGCAGTGGAATCGACCTTTGCCCTTGGAGAATCCAGTGCATGACATTTCTCCGGGAGATCATGTCTACGTGAGAAACTGGTCGGTGGAGCCGCTGAAAGAAACATGGGACGGTCCTCGCCAGGTGATAATGACGACCTACACGGCAGTAAAAGTCGAAGGAATCGACAGCTGGATCCATTATACTCGGGTCAAGAAGGTTCCAGTCTCGTGGTCGGTAGAACCTCTCTCACCCACGAGGATGGTGTTTCGAGCCAACAATTGAGAATCGTGGTGTTCCTGGGGTTGATAAGTTTGGCAGAGACCTTTGTGAAAATTGAAACCCCTGACCCTTACCTGCTAGTCCCCGAAGTTACTGATGTAAATTTAACCTGTTTGTTTTCTGATGACCAGGGAGCTGAATTACGGGATGTTAACGTCAAGTGGAGATGGAGAGATCAAGATCAAACCATGACAGAAGGAGTGACAACAGTTTAGGATGCTACACAACAAAAAGGTTACACCGTTCTGCAGGTACCCAAAGTGTCTAAAACCATGGAAGGGACATATATGTGTGCAGTTTGGATTTGGGAAAGTTTTGATTATGGACATATAGAAATACGGATAATAAACACCACTCAGAAAACGGTGACCAAAGTGCGAGTTTTACCCACTAGGGAACAATCAGACATGTGGGATGGTCCTCCTTTAAAAACCAATTGTACCTTCCAATTTGATGATTGTCAAAAATTAATTAAAGTGAAGTGGTGGAAACTAAATCTGGCAAATCAATCTTGGGAATCGCAAAGTCAAGGAGTTAGCTGGTGGTCAAATAGTAAGGGAGGTAAAGGGTGGCTGAATATTTCTAATCCCAGAGTAGGAAAGACAGAAGGTACATTTCTTTATGTGGTCTCATGTGGAGAAGAAAAAGATTATGGGATAAGGACAGTAGTAGCCGTACCACATCAAGGAGTAAGACTCAAACCAGAACACAGTGTTTACCCAGCCCAGGAAGGAAGAGATCTGATTCTAAGTTGCAAAATTCCAGAAGGACAGTATTCTGAATATGGGTGGTGGCTTAAGGGACAGAACTTGAAAGTCGGGAAGAAACATCAAATTGAAAAGAGGGCAGACACAATAGTTTTGAAAATCAAAGAAATACAAAGAGGATAAGATGAGGGCCAATATACTTGCTGGATAAGTAAAGATGACTGGTGGGATACTGGAATTACTGCCGTCTACATAAGGGCTGAAAGTATAACCCGGCAAGTAAGTAAACCGCAAATTCCAGATAGAGAAGTAGAACAAGAAAACCTAGTCGTAGGCCTAATTCGTGATTTTGGGAGAGTAGAGAATGTCACAAAAATTACTGCATGTCTCCCTATGCCTCATGCTGCAGGAGACCCAATCCCATGGGGAGTAATTCCAGTACCAGAAATTCCTAAAGTGTTTAAGAATACTACGTGGAATTGTAGATTTGTGACCAAAACATGGAATGAAATGATAGATGCATATCTACTCAAGAACGAAATGACAAAGAAACAATGTGAACAAGTGCCTGGATTTTTCCGATGGGTAGTAGTTGGAACATGGGTAACAAGCGAAAACATTGACAAATTAAAAGGATCTTGTTTAGTTACAGATTCAGTAATATACCCATGTTCTAAAGTCCCGGCTCAAATAAAATGAGAAAAACAAGAACAAGTATGTCAAAATATTACTAGCTCTACAACCATGGATGAATGGCAAACAATTTGGGGACCCAGCTTATTAGAGACTTATAGTTATATTGGAAAAGTACAGTGGTGTATTCACTGGAAAGGGAAAAAGAATCAAAATTATTCTACAGGCAATAGAGGAAATCATAATTGGAGGACAGAAACACGTGCAAAAGAGAATTGGAATTGTACTCGAGTATATACATGTGATACCACAGACGATGTAATAGGTTTAATGCCAGTCAAAACACTTTTGCAGTTAGGATGTGAATGCCGAGGATATAACCATACGATTGAGAGATCTGTGAAAAACATTGATTGCCGTACCACCACAGTTAAGAGCCCAGGAAATTTAGTGTGGGTCATGGGACATGGCCAGTGGACCACCCACATGCCAATAGATGGTCCAGTTGTACCTGTCACAATAGGGATACCTACTCTCTGTCCATTCTTGAAGCAGGACAAGTTAACATCAGTAGAAATACAACCACGAGGGAAAAGAGAAATTAGTAAAGACATTGATGACCTGGGGTTGGGAGATTGGCATGAACCATCAGCAGGAGTTAAATTTGGATGGGCATTAGAGTCTCTGTTTGCACCAATCTCAACATACCGGAACAGAGAAATGTTGTTTAAATTAATGGGACAAACTTAAAGGTTAGCAGCAGTCACCAAGAAGGGATTTAAAGATCTAAATTTACAATTACAAGACACCTCTAGAATGACCATACAAAACCGCATGGCATTAGACCTAATATTACTTAAGGAACATGGAGTTTGCGGCTACCTGCATGCTAAGAAGGAGTATTGTTGTGTGCACATCCCAAATGTCACTAAGGAAGTAGAAAAAGATATTAGTCAATTAGAACAAATTGACGAGAATGTTCATGAACTGCAAAAAGAAGCAGAACACAATTGGATAGGACAATTATTCAGCTCCCTAGGTCTTCATGTGTCAGGATGGATATCTTCTGTTATCCAGTATGGAATATTGATTGTAGTGGTTATTGTGATAGCTATAATTGTTTACAAGTGTCTTTTAGGAATGACTGTAAAAGAAAGTCAACATAAGAGACGCATCATGAAAGCTATAACAAGAAAAGAAGTAAGATGGACCACCTCCTGCCTGTCAAGAAACTGCAACCTGAAGATTGCTGTATTGAGCATCCTTGCAAGCAAAGCCTGAAGAATGCTCAAAATGGGGGACATGTTGCAAAGCAATTTAAGTTTTAGTAGTAGAATGGCTAAGGCTTAGTAGGAGAGTAGGCCTAGAAAAGCAACACTCCAAAGAAGTAAGTTAGCAACCTTGTTTGTGTGCTGAAAAAGTGGAAACCATAATCAAAGGATCTAGTCAAGCATGTATATAATGATTTGTTACTTAGGATATAGAAATTTGTTACCTAAGATGAAGTAAGGGTCTGTTAAACAGTTTCTAGGGGTAAGGCAACTTAAGCAGATTTATGATTAGAGTAGATGATTATTAATTGTTATCAGTATGGAACATGAGCTTGTTTGTAACTGCACCTGACGCACTCAGATACACTCAGAAACACTCAGACACACTCAGACACACTCAGTCACACTCAGACACACTTGGACAGACCCAGACACACTCAGATACACTCCGACATGCTCAGACACACTCAGACACACTCAGGCACACTCAGACACACTTGCACACACCCAGACACCCTCAAATACACTCAGACACACTCAGACACACTCAGTCACACTCAGACACACTTGGACAGACCCAGACACACTCAGATACACTCCGACATGTTCAGACACACTCAGGCACACTCAGGCACACTCAGGCACACTTGCACAAACCCAGACACACTCAGATACACTCCGACATGCTCAGAAACACTCAGGCGCACCCAGACACACTCGCACACTCTCACACACTCAGACACACTCAGGAACACTCAGACACACTCGCACACACTCTGACACACTTAGACACTCTCTCACACACTAAGGCACACTCTTACACACTGAGATGCACTAAGACACACTCAGACACACTCATACAGACTCAAGCATACTCAGATGCCCCTCCACACACTCAGGCACACTGAGACACACCTGCAAATATTCAGACACGCCTGCAAACACTCAGAAACAATCAGACCCATAAATATAAGCTCAGACAAACTCAGGCACACTCAGAAACACTCGCACACATCCAGGTACATTCGCTCACACTCTGACACACTCACACACGCTCAGACACGCTCTCACAGAACCAGACACACTCAGGCACACTGAGAGATGCCTAGACACACTCGCACACACTCAGACACACTTGAGCACACTCAAACACTCTCAGACGCACTCAGACCCACTCAAGCACACACTCACACATCCAGGCACATTCAGAAACATTCACACACATTCAGACACAGGTACAGTCAGAAACACTCACACACTCTCAGGCACACTCAGACATGCTCAGACACACTTGCACACTCCTAGACACGCTCACATACACTCCTACATGCCCATAGTGTGTGAGTGAGTGTCTGAGTGTGCCTGAGCGTGTAGGCGTAAGAAGAGAAAAGTCCTTCTCTCCCTGAGCTGCCTCTCATCTACACCTTAAATCTTGGGGCTACGTGGTTTCGTTCCGAATTAAGAGACTTTTTCTTCCCTCTCAGAAAGGAAGCACCAAAGTATTGATATCCTGTTAATGAAGAGAAACACTCCCCTACTGAAATGCGTCTGAGTGTGTAGAGTGTGTCCCAGTGTGTTTAAGTGTGTCTGACTGTGCTTGAGTGTGTCTGAGACCCTTTCTGTACAAATTGGTGGAAAAAGCTATCAACAAAAGCCTGGAAGTAAGCTAGATTAGCCATAGTGATCAAAACCATCACGGACCCAAGAACAGAGGTAGATGGCACTTTTTCTGTTTTATAAAGGTACAAACATGCCTAGCTTTTGGTGACAATATTTGATTGTCTCGTACTAACTTCATGATAAATCCCAACGTGCTACAGGGCTCAGCGATGAGGTAGGTTCCTTTTCTGTTTGCAGGTATTGCCAATGTGTCCTTGGGGAAGAAAGGAACTTTGGAGGTGAGTCGGGGCTGTGGCAGGAAGAGCAGGGCTGTGCCGAGCTTTCCGAAATGCCGCGGTGTTTGTGTGTGGATCACCCAGGTGTCCCTAGTGATGAGAGCTGCACCCTGGGATGCTGGCTGGAGCCGGTGACTCAGAGGGCCTCGGTGAGCCTGGGAGAGCGTGAGTATGGGAATTGCGGGGTTTTGGTTGAGCGGCTGCTAATCTCCTGCAAGTCTTCTTTCTAGTAGCTGACAAGGAGGAAAACCCGGTGGCTGCGTGAACCTCTGAGGAAACAGAGACGACCTTCTCTTGCGTTGAAGAAGGCTCTCGCATCCCTGGCTCTCGGAAAGATAAGTGAAGGGCTGTGTCACGGAGAGGGGAGGGTAGCAGGCTGGGCATGGCTGGGATGGTTTTAGAAATGAGCGTAGGGGGAGAGATGTCCAATAAGAGGCCCCGTAGTGCACCTAGGAGGAGTGGCTTATTTTGAGCAAAACACTGGACTGTGCAGGGCAGAGCAGCTCCGGTCTCTGTCATGTATTTTGTCTAGTCGGTCTTGCGTGTCTCGTGGTTTCTAGTTTAGAAGTCTTTGCGTTCTGCCCCGAAGGAATTTATAGGAAGCTTCGGGCATCATCCCCGGGGTCTTGCACGTCTCCTCGGCACGGTGTCCATATAATCTGTTCCTTGACATGCAATCTTACATGTTAATCGCATCTTGGAATTTTATAGTCGGGTGTATTCTGCGTCCGTTTCCGACTGGGTCGTCAACCACGCTCTCCAGCCATCCACTGTAAAGGAAGGGGAATTGTTCTTCACATCCTCCCAATCTTCCATGCCACATAGCGTTGTGGCACGTCCCTCTGTGCTGTTTTTACAGGTCGTTCTTTACCAATGTTGTTATCTTGGAGTTTTTCTGCAGGCTTCCGTAGGGCATTCTCAGCTCGCCGTCGCAGTTGCGTAGGTCTTCTCGCTGAAGAGCGTCTCGATTCCCTGAGTTCTGCTTCTTGCTCAGAGCATTCTCTCCTCATTGCACTTCACGTTTGCGGTGTACTGTGTCAGGTGTGAGTGTGTTTTTCCTGGAGCTGCTCTACCATGATGTGTAGATGAGGGGGAGGTAGGTGGAGCTGTTTCAGCCCTGTAAGGCCATCCATCTAAGGGAAGATCACTTCAAATCAAACCTACCTCCTGAGGACATGGCTGCCACCGTCCAAGCTCGCTCGGCTCCACCAGATGAACATTAGGTTTAAAGGGTAGGTTCAGTTCAGCACATAGAGTCTCACCACAAAAAAAACATTCCGCAAGCTCGAAGGCCTTACCCGCCTTTCCAAAGCCCTGTATCACAACCACCCTTTTAGAAAAATTGGGAGAGGCCTTTCTCAAATTTTCGTTGGCGAAGACTGGCCGTGAGGATGAATGTAGAGTGTAGATGACCTAGTTTTCCTGACTGACCTTGAGAACTATGAAAAGGTTCATTGAGCGTTCATTGAGCTTCTTATGTGAGCTGAAGAGTCCTTTTTTGTTCTCTTTGTTCAGAGGCCAGCAGACAGGGTGTCCAGTAGAATCGGAGGAAAGCAGAGTAGGAGAGCAAGAGGGTGGGTCGCCACTCGGCGTGGTACGGGAGACGTGATTTTTGGGTCCGTGAGTTTGACTTTCAGTTTTTGAGCGTGAAGATGGCCAGCCTTGTGTGGCGTGGGCTACCTGCACCGGATGGGAGACGAGAAAGATGAGCGTCCGAGGGTCAAAATTGTATGAGGAAGTATATTCCTCCCAGAGCAAAGGTGCCAGGAGAGAAAGAGCATTACATAAATGTAGTTCCGGGAATGGCGCAGCACCCTCTAAGGAGAGACAAAATATCATGGATTTCTTTCCTGGTTGAATACTAGCCGCACACACCCAGACACATTTGCTCACACTCAGACACCCTCAGACACATTCAAACTCGCACGCAGCCAGAAACACTTCAACACACTCAGAAACACTCAAGTACACTCCCACACATCCAGACACACACAGACACACTCAGACACATAAAGGCACACTGAGAGATGCTCAGACACATTCACACACACTCAGACACACTTGAGCACATTCAAACACACTCAGACACTCAAGCACACTCCCACATATCCAGAGGCACTCAGAAATATTTGCACCCTTTCAGACAGCCTCAAGCACTCAGAAGAACTCAAAAACTCTCAGACGCACTCAGGTACACTCAGACACATTGTCACAAAGCAGGACACACTTTGACACAGTCAGACACACTCACACACAAGCGCATACACTCAGACACAATCAGGCCCATAAATACAAGCTCAGGCAAACTCAGGCACACTCAGGCAAACTCAGACACACTCAGACACACTCAGGCACATTGAGACATGCCCAGACACACTCGCACAAATTCAGACACACCCGAGCACACTCCCGCACATCCAGACACATTCAGAAATATTCGCACACATTCAGACACACTCTCACACACTCAGAAACACTCACACACTCAGGAACACTCAGGTAACATCAGACACACTTGCACAAACGCAGACACACTCATAAACGCTCAGACACACTCAGGCACACTCAGACACACTATGACACACTTACACACACTCAGACACACTTGAACACACTCCGACACACTCAGACACTCTCTCACACATTAAGGCACACTCTTACACACTGAGACGCACTAAGACACACTCAGACACACTCATACAGACTCAAGCACACTCAGATGCCCCTGCACACACTCAGGCACACTGAGACACACCTGCAAACACTCAGATACACTTGCAAACTCTGAGAAACAATCAGGCCCATAAATATAAGCTCAGGC